GGCCGCACAGAGTTGTGTTAATGGCTCAATGTCCAGGTGGAGACCAGTAAGGAGCGGTGTCCCTCAGGGATCGGTGTTGGGACCGGTCTTGTTCAACATCTTCATCACTGACGTGGACAGTGGGATTGAGTGCTCCCTCAGCAAGTTTGCCGATGACACCAAGCTATGTGGTTCGGTTGATAGGCTGGAGGGAAGGAATGCCATCCAGAGGGACCTTGACATGCTTGTGAGGTGGGCTGATGCCAACCTCATGAGGTTTAACCATGCCAAGTGCAAGGTCCTACACCTGGGTCGGAGCAATCCCAGGCACAGCTACAGGTTGGGCAGAGATTAAAAGCAGCCCTGCAGAGAAGGACTTGGGGGTGTTGGCTGATGAGAAAATGAACACAAGCCGGCTTCAGCGTGCGCTCGCAGCCCAGAAAGCCAACTGTATCCTGGGCTGCATCAAAAGGAGCATGACCAGCAGGTCGAAGGAGGTGATCCCACCCCTCTACTCTGCTCTTGTGAGACCTCACCTGGAGTATTGTGTGCAGTTCTGGTGTCCTCAACATAAAAAGGACATGGAACTGTTGGAACAAGTCCAGAGGAGGGCCACTAGGACAGTAAGAGCGCTGCAGCATCTCCCATATGAAGACAGGCTGAGAAAGTTGGGGCTGTTCAGCCTGGAGAAAGCTGCGTGGAGACCTCATAGCAGCCTTCCAGTATCTGAAGGGGGCCTAAAAGAATGCTGGGGAGGGACTCTTCATTAGGGACTGTAATGATAGGACAAGGGGTAACGGGTTAAAACTTACACAGGGGAAGTTTCGATTAGATATAAGGAGTAAGTTCTTTACTGTAAGGGTGGTGAGGCACTGTAATACGTTGCCCAGGGGAGCTGTGAATGCTCCCTCCCTGGCAGTGGTCAGGGTCAGGTTGGACAGAGCCTTGGGTGACATGGTTTAGGGCGAGGTGCCCCTGCCCACAGGAGTGGGGTTGGAACTAGATGATCTCAAGGTCCTTTCCAACCCTAACAATTCTATGATTCTATGATTCTGTGATTCTCTGTGGATGGAAAGAGGCAAGTAAAAACTTCTACATACACTGTACATTTCTGAACTGGTGGTTTTATCTCCTGGGCTTGCTTGCTTCATAGCCTTTTCCTGATTCTTTCTTATTATTTATTTACTTCCCTTCTGTGTCCTAAGAATTTATGGTTACAGAGATTTGTATGACTATTCACTGAGCAAAACTACCACACCTGAAGCTAGAACAATCCCAAGTCCCAGTTGTGCAAGTGGATGCAATGGCTGAGCTACGTGGCAAATGGAGATCAGCTCATCAAGAAAAGCACACCACCATAAAACCACAGTAACTCCCAACTTTCAAAGAGTAGATGCATGACTTCATCTTTTCTGATGGTCTCAGTGGGAGCTGAGGATAACATTGTAGGTGCTCATCTATCAAGAAATCTAAAAGCTAATGTATCTTAAAATGTTGGACATGATTATCAATTCCTTACCTATAGACAGAGGAGAACTAAACGGACTGAACAACACATATTAAACAATATGGGAAGGCTATTGCTATTTTATTTGCACTGTGGAGATTATTTGTTTCTAATCCATTGTACTTGTTTGAGCTTTTTTTTTTTTTTAAAGCAATACTGTTCTATAAATTTTCCTTTATGGTTTTCAGAAGTATGATGCATTTAGAAGACTATGACCATAAAGAGCAAAGGATATAAATCCTCTTATTCCTCTCTTGGAAGAACTCCAAACTTTATCCCTCTGCTATTACTCTCCATTTCCTATGGCAGATTTTTGAAAAAGACAGTAAAGAATTATGTGGTATTACAAACATATGGCTTCACTGTGTTACTCTCTCACAGTAAATTGTCCTCCAAGACCCGGGGCTGCAGATCCTACATCTGCTTAGGATGAGACTATTTAACAGCAGCAGTTAGGTTTAGCCTTTGCTATTTTTGCCTAGACGGGTACTCTTGTAAAAGAAGTTCTAACTAGCAGTAATATAGCTAATGGTACTCTACTCTCTTCCAAACATCTTCCTGCCTACCTCACTATCCCGTGCTGGGGGGAAACAGGTGCTCACAAACATTCAAAACAACTGCCAAAAGGGAAACTACTCTCCTTGTTATTTCATATACATCAAACAGAGGCTATTTCAATTTCTGTATACATTTTACGGATCAAGCAAAACAATAAAACAGTTGAGTGAGCACAAAGTATAAAATTGGAACATAAAAATAAGGCAAGTGTGATAAAAGCATTAAGCTTAGTAGTCATTCACTAGAAAAATAGATTTTGCTGCCAGGTTTCCTCTGAAACTTTTAACAAGCATATTGCAAATGAGAGAATAGAACTTAACTCCAGTAAACATACTCCTTCAAGGCACTATTATGTCACTTTTAATGTCAATTTGAAAATAATCCAGCAAGTCAGTTGACAGAAGTATTACCCCAGCAATAACTAAAAAATATATAGAAATAAATAAACCCCCAAATTTTTCTTTGGTTAAATGAAAGGCTGAATGGAAAAACAAATCATAGTATGTTTCCATATGGAAAAAAAACAATCATTTCGGCTAAGATGTAACAAACAAGTATGAAGTCTTATACAATTCAACTACAAAAATGAACTTGCCAACAGTAAATTTAAACTCAGTTTCAGTAACAAGAATTGTTTAATGCATTAGATATATACAAACTGGGTAAGAATAATAACAAGATTTCAAAACTATTTAAAACCAGTGGAGAAACATTTTTCAAGGATACTGCTTCCAACACAAGATGTATCACTTGTTTTTTTCCACCTGTGCAAGTGCTTAGCAGTGGCAGACTGTTTTCAGTCACTGTACAGAACTTCCTACACAAAAATTCTGAATGGCACAGTTAAAAAAAAAAAAAAATTGGCTTTTTTTCCTACAGATTTGCACAGTCTTCCCTGTACACATCTTAACTGCAAGTCATCTCAGTTTCTGCTGTGTGTCCCTCAGGACCCCTGTGGAGTAACTGCAGGTCCTTCCCATGTCCCTACAACTGTTCTTCAACTGTTTTTTTCCTCACTCCTTGCCCATTCCTAATCTGGGGGAGCTGTCACCTTTAACTGCAACACGATATGGCTAACCATGGTGAGCCTGCATGTGCCACATAGCTCAACACTTAAAGGACCTCTCTACTCAAGAACTCCCCTTACAGTTAAGACACCAATCAGTTTCCTTCTAATTGCTCAACAGTCAGTGTGGGAAAGCTTTGAGGGTGAATTCAAAGCAGGATACAAAACTTATTTTCTTTGGCTGAAAAAGAGTTAAAGGCACACAGATGCTGATTTCACCATTAGCATCAATACTGATGGTTTTTTCCTCTCTTCCTCAGGACTGCGTATATCAAATGTCCTGTAAGTAATCAATTATCTTGCCCCACTACTGGGTAATTCTTAGGTTCTCCATCCTAACGAAACAGTCTTACAGCTCTATCTGAGCTCAAAGTTTGGAAACTCTATTATTTGCCAATCTTCAGACGGAATCTGGCCTCACAGCTGCTTGCTTTTACTTTGGACCTATGTACAGGAGGAATTTGCAGTGACCACTTTGAAGTATTAGGAAACAGCCCTTCAGGATTGTTTTGCAGACCTTATAGTCTCTTCCTCTAAAAAACTGGTAAGGCTTTTTTGCTATAGAAACCAATAAACTCTTGCATGAAAAGAACAATTTCATCTTGGAAGACAAGATTAGCCCAACAAATGTATATGGCTGAGCCTAACCATTAGGTCAATTATGGATTAGTGTACCTTATTAAAACTAATTTTGTGGATCCTTACACTTAGCCCTGTTGTTTGTAGGAGACACCACTAATTATGTCAGTTTTCTAATATGTATCCTTTAATACTATTTACTGCCCTTTATAGGGGAACCCAAGGTTTAAAACTAAGCAGACATATGATTAATAAAACCACTTATCAATATGAAAAGCTTTTTACCAACCTAAAACCAAACAGGAAACCCTTTGCAGACATGGCAAGCACAACATGCTAGAGGCAGGTCAAGACAAAACAATAGTTACAGAAGCCAATTTGACCACACTCTAATAAAGTCCTGACAGCAGAAACACATCATAGATGTAAAATCCATTCTTAATCCAGGTTTTACAGTTCCTGCTTGCCTTCAGTGCAACCCTTTTTTGCTAACACCAAAAAATATCTTAAGCCTCGCTGATGTTGGCCAAGACTTCATATCACAACTTCAGTATCAGACAGGAATGCTCCGTGAATGCAGAAATAAGTTGTTACCATTTCTGCTTAAAAGGTGGTCTTTTTTCCAGATAGTACCTAGCCTCCTTTTTGTTGAAAGAGATACTAATCCTGCTTTATTCAGAATCTAATTCTTAGATCTATTTAAGCTTACTCTTTTTCACTACTGAAACAGCTACAAAAATTGTTTCAAACAATATACAGAAGTAAGTCTTTCCAAACTGCAAACCATTTACTTGGTACAACAAAATAACTTTATAGCAATGATAAATTTGCATGAAAAGCTGTAAATGGATTCCGGCTTTTACAGTGCATAGAAACTTCAAGGCAAAATACAATTAACACAGTATCTTACATAGGGAAATCTTCATCAGTGTTCAGCCCTTACACAGTCAATCACTTAATTGTGATCATTTTTTACCTGGCCTTTAACTTGTCATTTTAAAGACACAAAATAAACAATGAAAACAAAAAAACATACATCAGACTGGATTTTGTCCCCTCATCTCCAACAGCTAATGATAGGCTTCCTGTTATTTTCAAATCCATAAGAACAGTAAAATCAGAAAAATAAAGGAAGGGAATTAAACCTATTTTCTGTATTCCTTTATCTATGTTCAAAGAAAAATGACCAGTTTGAGGAAATTCTGTTTAGATGTCTTTTCCTTTCATTTCCCTAGGGAGTTTGCAAATGCTGCCTGCTTTTTCCTTACATTTTTATTGAGAAAAGAAAGTATTCTGAAGACTTGATTTGTCCCCTTCTTAAAATTTAAGTTTTTCTTTTTTTTTCTTTTAGATTAGCAAGAAAAGGCAACTAAGGCAATCAACTGATATTCTATTAGCTGCACCTTTTTCAATTGCTGATTGTATAAGTAAATGGTATATTTAGAATTATGGCAACTACCTCTTCTAAAGCAGTATCTTAAGTCATAACAGCAGTGTCACAATTTTGTGTGTAAGAGAACTAGTGGTACTCATGTTGCTTTATCGTAATACTCCGAAAATTTTAGCTGCTCAAGACCTACTCTGTGCCTTAAGAAGAGTTCAAGGAACAATACAGCATGCTGCAAGAAGGAAACTGTATCAAGTAGACAGGACGTAAGAACCCCATAGCTGTATTTGTGAAATTTCTGTGCTCTGTATAATCACAAAACTGGGTTTGCAGCCCCCAGATCCTGCAGTAATTTTACAAGCGTAAAGAATTATTTCAGTTTCTTCGGATATGGTACTGTATCCCCTTTGCTTCTTTCATCTACTCTGGAATAATCTAAAATATCTTATCTGCACAGTATGTAAGTATTTAGCCTATTCAGAATTACAGTATAGCAGTACATGTATGTGGCAGGACATCTTCAGCAAATTCGCATCTTAAGTATTCAGAATGTACCTATCTTCCTCATTTAAGTGAAGCTAAGAAAAGTCAGAACGAAGACATTTTACTGCTCAGAGCAAACTGCAAACCTGTTAATGTGTAATTTAAATAATGATAAAGATTTCCCTTTGACAATTTCTCTTGTAAAAAATGGCTGTGTCACATTCGCTTCATCTTCTAGTAAAAGGCATTTTCTTTGGTGGAATTACTTTTTTGATCTTACAAGTCCAGCCTTGTAACACTTACAGGCCCATTCTATATCATCTGTTCACTCAGTGAATGCAAAGTTAGTTCCAATTTAGAACATAAAATCAAACACATCAGTCAAACAACAGGAAGTCTAATCACATAAAAAAAAAAAAGCCTTTTAGTAGTAAAATTACAAATGTTACAGACATCAGAGATCTAAATGCAGTACATTGGAATACATTATTATCTGTATAAAATAAACAGTTTCACAGCTATTTTAAAAGCATCTTATTTTCTTAAAGTGTAGAGGAGTTTACTTAGAAGCATAGTGGATGTTTAAAATGCACAGCTGCATACTTCTGTAGCTTTGTGATGATTTCCATTTCTGCTGCCCTAAATCTTCTGAATGAAAGATAAACATATTTCCTTATAACATCAATTCTATTATTTTGCTGCTTAATATTTTACCATATTTGTTTGAAAATAAGCTTGAAAATAAGTTACAGTTCAGATTTAAAAAAAAAATAAAAAAGTAAACAGTCCAATTTGCAAATCTGAATCCTTAGTGATTCACTGAGTATTGTGCAAAAAGGGCTTTATAAAAACAGGACCTTAGAACCAATACTGGATAAATTCTTTTGTGCTGGTTTTGGCTGGGATAAAGCTAATTTTCCTCACAGCAGCTGGTGTGGGCTGTGTTTCAAATTTGTGCTGGAAACAGCATAAATAACGCAGGAACATTTTCACTATTGCTGAGCAGGGCTTACAGAGTCAAGGCCTTTTCTGCTCGTCACACTGCCCCACCAGCGAGCAGGCCGGGGGTGCACAACAAGTTGGGAAGGGAAGCCAGGACAGCCAACCCCAAATGAACCAAGGGATATCCCACGGCACAGGACAACATGCCCAATATACAGAGCTATGGGAAGAAGGAAGGGAAGTGGGATAATATGTGGAATTAAAGCATCTGTCTTCTCAAGTAACCATTATGCATAATGGAGCCTGGCTTTCCTGAAGGTGGCTGAACAACTACCGGACCATGGGAAGTGGTGAATGAATTCACCAATTTTTTTGCTTGTGTGTGGAGCTTTTGCTTTGCCCATTAAACCGTCTTGATCTCAACCCATGAGTTTTCTCACTTTTCTTTCTGAGTCTTTCCCCCATTCCACCAGGGCAGCGTGAGCAACCAGCTGGGTGGGGCTCAGTTGCTACCCAGGGTTAAGCCATAACACCTTGAAAAACTAAGTCACAGCAATCACAAGTACAACATGCAGGAAAACAGAGGAGAGAATATGCTCTTGTGAAAGTATTATTTTCTGTTTGTTACTCTTCATTGGCCACTTCTCTTTCTGCTCTTTAAAACAAAGGGTATGGAAACAATCTTCCTTCAAGTAGATGGCTGGTGATGAGGAGAAACACTACAAGCTGTGACATGAATACAAAGTCATTAATACCTCATCTTGAGACAAGAGATTGGGGCACCAGATGCAGAAGGGGAATAACAAGAGGAAATAGCTACTGTGTAGGATTGGTGCTCAACTGACACACCATCCTCTAACAAGCATTTCCATCTGGCATAAGTAGAAGCAATCTGCAATTATGCTGTAAAGAGTAACAAGGATGAGGGTGTTCACTATATAGCTACCAGAGGGCTACATATCCTCTGCTTCCTTCTACCACTAAAGCCTTCCATCACCATCTATTACACTCTGCCTACTTTCCTAGGCTCCTATAATCCCTTGTTTCATATCCTTGCTACTGTCACATTCCCCACTTGCATGCTTCCTCCATAAATTCACTCAAAACCCAAAACACAGCCTAAAAAGTAGGGGCTTAGATATATCAACAATTATGCACCTCAGCACTTACCCTGCCAACTACAGATATATTTCATCAGGAGCCAGGTTATTAAGCAAGTTAATCCAGGTCCTATTTTAAGAATTGCATAGGTGAACAGAACTACTAAACCACAAGGATAATGACAGCATTGAATTCTGAGGGACTGGACTCATTGTCTTGCTGATAATACATCACAAATTACTATATATTGTTCTATCTAAACAATGGTTCTATTCCTATGTTCCCACATTTAAAAAATAAAAATAAAAATCAAACCAACCAACAAAAACAAAATAATAATCAACAACCAACCACACTGGGACACTGGGATGGCACAATGGATTTCTTCATCCTTGTATTAGGCTGTTGAAGAAAAGAGTAAATTCTTGTCTCCATTTCATCTCTACGTACCTTTTTAGGCACCAGATCAAATTCTTCTCTGCCTAGCTTCACTGCTTTCCAGACCACCGTCTTCTGATTTACTATAAGAAAGAGATGTTAAACCCCAGAACTCAACTTTTTAGTAGGAGCACAGTCATTCCAGTCCCACAACCCAGTAACAGAGTACATCCAGTTGATTTTCCCTCTTCTAAACATGTAAAGTTATAAGATTAAAAAAAATTAAGCACCAAAAAAACCCAACTCTTGACATCTTTCAGCCAAGTAGTAAACACAAGTCAATTTCCCTCAAAACCCCACAAAGTTCTGCGCCTAAGGTGTAACAGTGACAGTAGTCCCAGAAATCGTTTGCAGTACTATCATTTTATAGAGTGTATAGAATTTGTATATAAAGTGAATGCTTAAACAATATACACGTCAACTTCCTCAGAATATTGGCTGAAATACTATATAATTGCTTTTTCTGGAGTACCTACAACTACTGATAGGGTGATGGTCATAAAGACTTATATTAACAATATTCTAAAAAAAAAAAAAAAAAAAAAGTATCTCTGAATCACTAGCCTCCTACCTAGAACTGTGGCATTATAGCATTATAGAGCTGTAGCATTATTATATATATAGAATTAGAATTGTAACACTCTAATTATAGCCTCATCAACCAAATTCAGATGTATATTAGTCATCATTTGACATAACAGACCTGAGAAGTTCCTTTGGAGTCACTCTGATACACAATTCTATCTTCTAAACAGCCAGTAGCTGATAAAACTTTCAGTTATTAAAATCAGGCAAAAAATACAAGGTTTAGTAGATTTACTTCACATGTGTGTATCTAAGATAGAACTCCAAAGTAAAGATTTATCAGCTGATCAAAACCACATCCCACACCTCATCAAGCTTAAAAACATTATTTCAGTGCACTATGTTGTGCATAAAGAACTGGCTGGATGGCTGCACACAGAGTTGTGGTCAATGGCTCAATGTGCAGCTGGAGACCAGTAACGAGTGGTGTCCCTCAGGGATCAGTGTTGGGACTGGTCTTGTTCAACATCTTCGTCGCTGACGTGGACAGTGGGATTGAGTGCTCCCTCAGCAAGTTTGCCGATGACACCAAGCTGTGTGGTTCGGTTGATACGCTGGAGGGAAGGAATACCATCCAGGGGGACCTTGACACGCTTGTGAGGTGGGCTGGTGCCATCTTATGACGTTTAACCATGACAAGTGCAAGGTCCTACACCTGGGTCGGAGCAATCCCAGGCACAGCTACAGGTTGGGCAGAGAAGAGATGCAGAGCAGCCCTGCAGAGAAGGACTTGGGGGTGTCGGTTGATGAGAAAATGAACACAGGCCAGCTTCAGTGTGCGCTCACAGCCCAGAAAGCCAACTGTATCCTGGGCTGCATCAAAAGGAGCGTGACCACCAGGTCGAAGGAGGTGATCCTGCCCCTCTACTCTGCTCTTGTGAGACCTCACTTGGGAGTACTGTGTACAGTTCTGCTGTCCTGAACTTAAGAACATGGAACTGTTGGAACAAGTCCAGAGAAGGGCCACGAGGATGATCAGGGGACTGGAACACCTCCCCTATGAAGACAAGCTGAGAAAGTTGAGGCTGTTCAGCCTGGAGAAGATGAGATTGCATGGAGACCTCATAGCAGCCTTACAGTATCTGAAGGGGACCTATAAGGATGCTGTGGAGAACTCTTCATTAAGGACTGTAGTGATGGGAACAAGGGGTAACGGGTTAAAACTTAAAACAAGGGAAGTTTAGATTGGATATAAGAAGGAAGTTAAGGGCCGTGAGGCACTGTAATACGTTGCCCAGGGAAGTTGTGAATGCTCCCTCCATGGCGGTGTTCAAGGTGAGCCTGGAAAGAGCCTTGGGTGACATGGTTTAGGGTGAGGTGCCCCTGCCCATGGCAGTGGGGTTGGAACTAGTGATCTCAAGGTCCTTTCCAACCGTAAGTATTCTATGATTCTATCATTCTATTGCGAGGGTGCTGAGGCACTGTAACAGGCTACCCAGAGAAGCTGTGAATGCTCCATCCCTGGTAGTGTTCGAGGCCAGGCTGGATGGAGTCTTGAGTGACATAGTTTAGTGTGTGGTGTTCCTGCCCATGGCAAGGAGGTTGGAACTAGATGATCTTTAGGTCCTTTCCAACCCTAACTAGTCTATGATCCTTACGAAACAGCAGTATAATAGCATAATAAATTTCCAAGACATATTCCCAGTTTATAATGTAACTGAATTTCAAAACTGGTTAAAACGGGGGATAGATAAAAAAAAAATATTTTTAGTATTTATCACTGCAAATAGGAATGGAAGCACGAACACAACATAGGGAAACAAAGGTCACTGCAGCAAGAAATTCAAGAAGGGTGCCATGCAGAAGGACAAAGAGGTAAACGTAAGTGAAGGGACTGAGAGTAAAACATGCATTAAGACTGGACACATCGAAAAAGAACTGCTAGGCTGCATCTCAAAGCTAAAGGAAAGTTAAAAAGCAGATAAAGTGACTGAGCTTCAAAGGCTTGGCTGAGGGAGAGAGGTATAGCTTACTTTAGCAAGCAAGCTTTGCATCATCCTCAGGATGGGGAAGCCTACATGGGAGCACCAACACTCAAGTAGCAGAACAGCAACAGAAGTACCTGCACCTGCCCCTTTAGCTCCAGTAGTGCAGCCATCCTTGGGCCCAGGGAGCTCAAGCTATCAGCACCACAAGAGGCACTACTCCAGAGGCTAGTGTTACCCACCAAAATAGGCAACACCACCAGCTCCCAGTAACCCAGCAACTACAGGCTTACCCAGGATAATATGGGCTTTGACCACATGCAAGTGAGAGAAATTCATGTTAACATGGATAAGAGAAAAATTTCAAAGACTCTTTTATAAAATTTCTACCTGAAAGTGATTTTCCTCCTAATCATAGAGGTTCCCTGCCCATGGCAGGAGGAGTTAGGATGAGATGACCTTTAAGGTCCTTTGTCCTGGGTTCAGCTGTAGCAGTCATTTTCCTCCTTCTTGGTAGCTGGTGCAGTGCAGTGTTTTGACTTTCGGCTTGGGAACAGAGCTGATAACAATGATGTTTACCCTGACCAAGGATTTTGTGAGGCTCATGCTCTGCCAGGGAGGAGGGGAAGCCGGGAGGAAGCAGAGACAGGGCGCCTGACCCAGGCTAGCCAAAGAGGTATTCCATACCACAGCACGTCATGCCCAGAATGTAACTGAGAGTTACGCGGAAGGGCTGGAACTGGAGGGGCTGGAGGAGGTATCGGTTGCTGCTTGGTCGGGCTTGGGGGGGGGGGCGAGTTATCAGTTGGCTGGTGATGAGGTGTTGTATTCTCTTCCCTTGTTATTTCCTGTATCATTATTATCATTGGTGGTAGCAGTAGTGATTTGTGTTATACCTTAGTTACTAAACTGATCTTATCTCAACCTGTGGGACTTGCATTCTTTTGATTCTCCTCTCCATCCCTCCGGGAGTAGGGGGAGGAAAAGAAGGTGGGGGGGGAGTGAACGAACAAGTTGCCTGACTGGGTTTAAACCACGACAGTCCTTTCAACTCAAACCATTCTATGAGTCTATGATTTTAGAATGAGTTCATACTGAGAATACATGGTGTTTTCAAAAAAACTGAAATATATTCTGAACACCAAAATTAAGCGCTGCCTAGGAAACAGCATTCTACACACTGGAATTTTTAAGGAAGTCTCAAGGAAAGGAATGAGCTATACCTTCTTATTCATCACTAACCCTCATCAACTGTATCAACAACAAGGTATAATTTTATACAACATACCAATATGCAAAAGAGCAAATATTTAACTATAGTACACACAAATTCTTTACTTACAGATGCTCAATTTGGTCAAACTCTTTTTCGGCTTCTGCATAACAGAAAAAGAATTATATAAGGTCTCAATTTAGCAAACACTAGGAAAGTTCTGCCTTATTATGTTATTTACTCCATGTCTAAGCAAAACATTTTTTCATTTTATTAGTTTTCCTAGATTTATAGTTCAAATTATCGTGTTCCTCTGTTCAGTAGAAGACCTGTGAATTTTTCAAAAAGCTTACTTTGATCAAGTTTTAGCCTGATTTTAATACTTTATATATACAATATATATACACGTATGTATAAAACTGAAAAACATATACACATATACATATAATATAGACACATACATGCATAGGGTTTTTTACATACATATATCACTTCTGTTTCATCTTGTACGCCTAGTTTGGCTCACCTATACGTGCCATAGGTTCAACCACCAACATTAGTGCTTTCTGGTTTAATGCATTTTTAACTTCTTACTCAATTGCTTAACAGAAGTTTCTCTCTTAAAGACTACCACGAGTTACTTCCATGCCTAAACAAGTATAGCCTCTAGATTATTTTGTCTTGTAAAGAAAAACGGAATGACTGTATCAAAACATTTACGGAAAAGCACTGCTTACTGAAAGCACTTTATACCTGAATTCAAGACTCATGAAAGAGATTTTAAAATTTAAAAATAATGCAGTGTTCTAGAAGAAAGTATTTTATCAGAAAAAACAGATGGGGGGGGGGGGAAATCACATTGAACTTCATATATGAAGTGTTTCATGTCCTGTCTTTCTACTTTTGTCTGCAATTTCAATGGAAAGCTAGAAAAGGCTTACCTGTACGTTTTACTTTTGTTGAATATATCTCATAACAGACAATGAGAGCTACTAAAATAACAACTTCAATCACAATTGCGATGAAGGGTTTGAGAGGTGCCATGAAGGACAGAACTTTAAGCTCCAGTCTTCCTTCACTTTTCCCTAATTCAAAAGCAGCTTCACACCAATATTCACCACCATCCTCCTTGGTGAGCTTCAGTATCTTCAGCTGGGTTATACTGGCAGACTTTTTACTAATTACATACCTGTCTGTCAGCAAAGACTCATTAATGACAATCTGAAATTAAAAAATACAAGTCTTATTAATGTAATGAGAAAGCGTCTAACCAAATTATTATCAATAGACAGTTCTATATAGAGTGATGTAAAAACAAGTTCAGAACAAGTGGCATTTGTGAATTATGTTTACTGCACCTTCAAGGGAAAGTTTTATCTTAGCCGTCTGCCTGTGTTCCCTTTATATTCAGTGGAGGAAAACACACACTTTCAATGAGCAAGTTGCCTGACCTGTTTTAGTCTACTTAAGATCAGATGAAAGGTAGCCCTGACTCTGACTCTCCACTGACAAAAGCAGCTTCAGGTGTCAGGATGCAATACCCAGGTTTTACCACAGCACAAAGCATGTGCTTTCAAGTTGAACCGGGAATGCTGCTTCACTGGAAATTATGTTGACAGTCTTACAAGCCAGTGCTACTCTCCAGCAGCAGGGAGGAGACAGACCTATTTACCTCCTCTCTAGCTTATTTTAGAAATTAAATGCTGCTTCCCCCAGAAAAGGGCTAGAACAAAGTGGCTATACTTCCAAGACTAATGGGGATCTTCAAACGTGGGTATGTGAAGGCGGGAAACTGCTAAGCAAGATTTTTCCTTACAGCCTTTAAGGCAAGAGCAGAAGTGAGAAGAGGTTTCAGCTCCTTCAGAATCCATCAGCACAGCAGCCTCCACAATGGGATGACCTCCTTTAGCTCCAGTGCCCCAGAGGCCATACAGACTGGGAAATACAGAATTACTTGTATATGGAGAAGGAGAAAAATGGGTATGTGCCTGTTCACCTCAAGCCTCCAATACCCTTCACGTCTTTAGAAATGTCATGCTGTAAGATTTTTCTTGGTATCAAGCAGCAAAATTTGAAAAAATATGACTATTAATATAGTAAAATGAAATACCTAATGACCCACCTGATTTGTTTCACTTCTATCTGGTCTGTAAGAGTATGGCAGGGACTTTCTGGAAAGGGAACATCATAAAAACCAGAACAAAAACTAAATCCCTGTAATAATGACTGTTCTTAAATATCACAGATTTTTTTCCCCTCATGTACAGAGATTTCAATGAGCTTTAATATAAATTCAATTAGTAGAGCCTACAGCAAAAAAGTCACCATATTTTACAAAGTGTCTGTACTTGGATTTTGCCATGTTTTGCTTGGCAAACAGATGGAAACCTTACCTGTTTACTTCCATTGGTCATATACCAGGTCCAAGAAATGGCTGTATAGCCAGGACATTCACAAGTCATTACAGCTGTATCTCTAAGGTAACTGATTGTGGGTTTTTCTTTTCCTTTAATTTTCGGTACTACAAAGTAGGAAAAAGTTCATTATGTGAGAGCTATAAGTTTTAATTACAATACTGCAAAAAGATATTTAGGTATCTACTTACAGTAGTCCATTCACTTCCTTTCCGCTTAAAATATAGATGATTCTATCATTCAAAACATGATGTAAATGAAAAGTCTTTTCAGGCTGACATTACACATACAGAATTTATATGGAAACTACAAGAATCCTGCTCACAGTTGCTGTCTGATCTTAAATGTTGCCAATTAAAACTGAAAACTAAGTGATACTCAGATTGAGATTTCTACCCTTGGCCATTTCCTCTTTCCTTTAAAGCTGTGAGCTACATGCTTCAATTCTACACTAGAAAAACATACTAATTTTTGTGCAACTTCACTCAACCAGCAAAAAGTCACAGAAGTCTATTCCAGCCATAATGCTACAACATAATGGTATGTGGCAATGACTGCGTATGCAGGGAGCTTCTCTTTGCAATTAAGACAAAACAGACTGATAGAACTCTGCAGTTAAAAATATTCTGAGTTGAAGCATGGCTTTCAGGTGCATGCCAATATAAAAGAATGTCAGTCCAATCTTGATAAGGAGACAACATTGCCAGAAGAAACATGGCATCCGTTTGTGACTTCAGAGCTACTTGTCCCAGCCACTATAACCACAGATGACCCACAGCCTTCCAACAGCAAAAGCCAAGAGTTGTTGAATATATTCAGGCATGCCACAGATATATTTGCTCAGCTGCAATTATATCATGCTAGGGTATGTATTTTCCCTTCCCCCTTCTTCCTCTTTATTAGGATGTTTACCAGCATGCTTTCTTCAGATCCATTTATTTTAAATTTTACATAAAAGTTTCATTGTTCTATCTTGTAAGTACAAATCCAGTACATATTAAATTATATTGGTCACACTAGACTAAACAGGGCAAGAATTTGTTTTCAGCAGTTATGATGGAACAATTTGGTATAAACTAAGATTGTGCTTGTTCACCCCCCTCTTGATTGGCTGAGCACAAATTAATTTTCCACAAAAAGTCCACTTCTTGTGAGCAACCAAGCTTCAAAATTCCCATTCCAGAAACAGATATTAAACCAATTTCTTAAAAAGAACACTGCTTAAAACCTCAGAATTTGCTGCACTATACATCAGCCCAGCATCATTACTAGTGAAGTCTTCTTTTTTTTTTTTTTTTTATGCTAGAGATTGGAAGGGACCTCGAAAGATCATCTAGTCCAATCCCCCTGCCGGAGCAGGGACACCTAGATAATGTTACACAGGAATGTGTCCAGGCGGGTTTTGAATGTCTCCAGGGAAGGAGACTCCACAACCTCCCTGGGCAGCCTGTTCCAGTGTTCCGTCACCCTCACTGAGAAGAAGTTTCTTCCCAAGTGTAAGTGGAACCTCTTGTGTTCCAGTTTGTACCCATTACCCCTTGTCCTATCATTGTTTGACACTGAGTAGAGCCTGCCTCCATCCTCGTGACACTCCCCCTTTATATATTTATATACACTAATAAGGTCACCCCTCAGTCTCCTCCAAACTATAGAGACCCAGCTCCCTCAGTCTTTCCTCATAAGGGAGATGCTCCACTCCCTTAATCATCTTTGTTGCCCTGTGCTGGACTCTCTCCAGCAGGTCCCTGTCCTTCTTGAACTGAGGGGCCCAGAACTGGACACAATATTCCAGATGGGGTCTCACCAGGGCAGAGTAGAGGGGAAGGAGGACCCCTCTCGACCTACTAACCACCCCCCTTCTAATACACCCCAGGATGCCATTGGCCTTCTTGGCCACAAGGGCACAGTGTTGGCTCATGGTCATCCTGTCGTCCACTAGGACCCCCAGGTCCCTCTCCCCTACACTGCTCTCTAACAGGTCCTTTCCCAACCTATACTGGAACCTGGGGTTGTTCCTGCCCAGATGCAGGACTCTACACTTGTTATATTTCATCAAGTTATTCCCTGCCCAACTCTCCAGCCTGTCCAGGTCTCTCTGGATGGCAGCACAGCCTTCTGGCGTGTCAGCCACTCCTCCCAGCTTAGTGTCATCAGCAAACTTGCTGATAGTACACTCGATTCCCTCATCTAAATCGTTATCTTCAAGGTGCACATTAAGATCCTTCAGAATTATCCTTGTATCTTCTTTACTAGAGCTTCCATCTACTTGAGTCACTCTATATTCCAACCACTGCTGGACAAGAGCTTTCTCTTCTGCAGTACTTCCAAGCAGTTGCTCTTTCTTGGCCTGTTTAACTAAGTAGGCAGCTATGGTCATTATTCCTGTCAGACCAGGTCCATTGTTTGTCTGAAGAACAGGAACCTTCCACTCCCCCTGGACGCCGTACTTGCTCCCTTTCGGCAGGCCCAGCAGCTTCTCCAGCAGCACCAGCTCCTCCACGGCGGGCCCCGGCCGCGCCGCAGCTGCCATCTTTGGCGGAAGCCCCATACATATTTGTTTTAATCATTAAACACTATCCTTCCTTCTAAAGAGCTGTGACGGAGTACCCTCACTCCTGTCAGGTAACTCTCAGCAATTGTTTACACCTCCCTGGCAATTTATAGAAGAGAAAAAACAAAGTTAAGGAAAAAAAGAACTTAACAGGGGAAAGCAAACAGAAAACCCTCCTACCCAGCACAGTAGGGTTTTTTTAGTCAAAAAGATTTAGCCATTCCAATGAGTGGCAAACAAACTACAGCTACTGGCATACCAACAACACATACGACCACATTAACCATGAACAAGGACACAAATATCCATCATGAGCTCTTAACAGAGTGGTTAATCCTGAACGTGCAAGGAAATATTGTGCTTTGTTCCAGATACTTTTGCAAGAATTTTTACCCAGCACTGGTGCTGCACAGAAAAATGGTGAGATGAGCAGACAGGTGATCACACCAGCATTTGCACCAGTCAAGAGTTCCACACTAGTTAATAAAGACAAGAGTTGTTTCAAAGTGCATATACCTGGACAGGTGCTCAAGGATCCCTGAACAAAGGGCAAACAAATTAATCTATTCTACCCTTTAATACAGCTACTACAATACTTCAAAATACCCATGAATGGTCTCCATATTTAATAATTTGATCTTCCTATAAGTATCTCATTGTTCTCTTCAGACATGGGTAAAAGCTTAACGCCTCAAAATTTGCAGGGTCATGCCATGCCAGAATGGGGAGGAAAGGGAGGAGAGGCAAGACATCCATAATGCCTAACTGCCTTGTGGAAAATCATTGCAGTTAGTTACAACAGTGATGACTTTAGCCACCAAGTCTATCAACATATTACTCATCTTTCAGTTTGAGATTTGTTCTCTCTGCATTACTGACTGGAAGATTCAAGGACTTCTCCTTCTCATTTCCTTCACTCATACATTAATCTTAAAAAATGTCAAACCAGTACTTTTTATGGCACCAGAAGTGGCAGCATTCAACCATTATGAAACAATTGTCCCATCTTCTTGTAATAAATTTAGCAGTCCTATGCACTGTTCTGGAAAAGATGACTTCCCTATTGACTCATTCCTGCCCTTACTGAAACAGTTACTTTCAAACGAATAAGGCCTCCTTTCACTTTTTTAATCTAAACAGAATTGGGTAGACATTCAACTAAACTTTAAGCATATACTGACAAGAAAAACAAAATCATTTTTAGAGATTAAAAAACCTGAATAAACTACAATTTTGACTTTCTTCAATATTACAAGCTAGTCTCCCATGGCTGAAGGCTTGAAAACAGGTATTGTTTCAAAAGCTGAACATACATGAGAGTTTCCTCAAGTTATATGAGCAGAGATCCCACTGAACAAAGGCAGCTTGCAGCACAGTGCAATGCCGTGCTGGTTAGCCCAGCTGAGGTAAGGGTAAGTATTTGAAGAGGCAGCAGTTTTAGAAGCCTGTGTTCAGTGAGAATCTCCCTCGTATATATATCAGCCCATGGACCTTTCACAGATCAAATGTTTATCTTGCTTTTTTACAAAATTTGGATGGTGAGAACGGAAAAGGCAATAGCTCTCATTAAGATATGAAGGCCCTCAGCAGCTTGTGTTTGCTCAATTCCCACACCTTGCATTCAACTGGATTTCACCTACTACGGTTGGGACAATATTGTTGGAGAAAAGAATGTAACACAGAAGAAAGGGCATTCCTACTGCCCAATTAAACACAGTAACTTTTAATGTAAGTGCTGTTATTGGACAGAATGACAGATGCACTAAAGCAGCAATTTGGTGTTTCAGAAATAGAACGGAATTTGTTCAAAAACCTGCCTCCATTCTGCCAATTATTTGCTCCTCTTGTAACATAGAATCTCAAGCCAAACTTCTAAGTCATTGGCTCTGCTTATTGACGGATTTATCTGAGACACCATCCTTTCCTCCCAACCCCCAGAAAGTGATAAGCATTTAGTCCTGCTTAGGGATAGAAAAGGAAAGGGAAATAATTGCTCATTTAGGAAAAAAGTAGGTTTATATGCTCTTTTGGTTGCTAACAAGTTTTGTTAAAAAGGCTTCAAAATTCTTCTTCCCGCCACACCTTTGATAGTGAGTATCACTTAGCTTCTCTATATTAGTCACTGCTTATCAAATTAACCTGCAATTTCCATACTATCCAGAAGCCATAATAACACACAATTTCAACAGTCAAGTGAAGCAAATGTAAAGTAAAATAAAACTGAAGTTAGTTAAAATTGAATACAATTACCTTGTAAGTGAAAAATACCACTGAGCTCTTTTTCACCTTTCAGGGTACAGTTGTAACTTCCCAACTTACTGCTATCCGAGACACTAACTCTTAAAAGAAAAAGAAAAAAAAAAACAACACACAAAACAAATCACCAATTTGGTTTTCTGATCGTATTCTCTTTTGTCCTACAACTACTGGTGACGGCTAACTAACATTCTAAATAAGCAAAGAGATTAGTAGTGGAACAGAGAAGAGACACTGCTGAAACACTGGATTCAGATTCACTGCAATGTAGAAACAACATGACATTTTTAAGGAAATAGAGAAGCACAAGCACAGCTGTGAACATAAATATTTTCAACCTTGATGCTCATAGAAGGCCAAACATTTTTAAGCAGTATGATCTACAGTTTAGCAAACACGAAATACTACATAATTCACATCGCAAACCCATGTCCAATGTAGGACTTCAGAACAGATTATTTAAAAGGTTCATTCTTTCTGAAGTCAGTCAATGGCTAGCACAGCTTAAACACAGAACATTTTTAAAGAGCTGCCACCTACTGAAGCCCAGCATCTCTGTCGGTAAACATTTCACAGGCACTTCATGCAAAGATTTACATGGCTGTGCTTGTGTGTACAGAGTAGCAGAAAAGTAAAATATGTTCTCACCACATTTTCCATCATAGAAATTTCAGATAAATACTACTGATGTTAAGAATCATAGAACAGTTAGGGCTGGAAAGGACCTTAAGATCATCTAGTTCCAACCCCCCTGCCATGGGCACACCTCAAACTAAACTGTATCATCCAAGGCCTCGTCCAACCCGGTCTTGAACACTGCCAGGGATGGAGCATTCACAACCTCCCTGGGCAACCTATTCCAGTGCCTCACCACCCTCACAGGAAAGAATTTATATCCAATCTAAACTTCCTCATTTAAGTTTTAACCTGTTACCCCTTGTCCTATCACTACAGACCCTAATGAAAAGTCCATCCCCAGCATCCCTATGCAGATACTGTAAGGCTGCTATGAGGTCTCCATGCAGCCAAAAGGCTCAACAGCCCCACGCTCAACAGCCCCAACTTTCTCAGACTGTCTTCATAGGGGAGGTGCTCCAGTCCCCTGATCATCCTCATGACCCTTCTCTGGACTTGTTCCAACAGTTCCATGTCCTTTTTATGTTGAGGACACCAGAACTGTACACAATACTCCAAGTGAGGTCTCACAAGAGCAGAGTAAAGGGGCAGGATCACCTCCTTTGACTGTCATGCTCCTTTTGAGGTGACCCAGGATACGGCTGGCTTTCTGGGCTGCGAGTACACACTGAAGCCGGCTCATGTTCATTTTCTCATCAACCAACACCCCCAAGTCTTTCTCTGCAGGGCTGCTCTGAATCTCTTCTCTGCCCAACCTGTAGCTGGGCCTGGGATTGCTCCAACCCAGGTGTAGGACCTTGCACTTGGCATGGTTAAACTTCAACAGGTTGGCATCAGCCCACCTCACAAGTGTGTCAAGGTCCCTCTGGATGGCATTCCTTCCCTCCAGCCTATCAACCGAACCACACAGCTTGGTGTCATCGGCAAACTTGCTGAGGGAGCACTCAATCCCACTGTCCATGTCAGCGACGAAGATGTTGAACAAGACCAGTCCCAACACCGATCCCTGAGGAACACCACTCCTTACTGGTCTCCACCTGGACATTCAGCCATTGACCACAACTCTTTGCGTGCAGCCATCCAGCCAGTTCTTTATCCACCCAGTGGTCCATCCATCAAATTGATGTCTCTCCAATTTAGAGTCATGGATGTCGTGTGGGACAGTGTCGAATGCTTTACACAAGTCCAGGTAGATGACATCAACTGCTCTACCCCTGTCCATCCGTTCTGCAGCCCCATCATAGAAGGCCACTAAATTGGTCAGGCAGGATTTCCCCTTAGTGAAGCCATGCTGTCTGTCACCACCCACCTCATTGTTTTTCATGTGCCTTAGCATGCCTTTCAGGAGAATCTGCTCCAAGATTTTGCCAGACACAGAGGTCAGACTGACTGGTCTGTAATTCCCCGGGTCATCCATTTTCCCCTTCTTGAAAATGGGGGTTATATTTCCCTTTTTCCAGTCGTCAGGAACTTCACCTGACTGCCATGATTTCTCAAATATGATGGCCAGTGGCTTAGCAACTTCATTCGCCAGCTCCTTCAGGACCCGCAGATGGATTTCATCAGGACCCACGGACTTGTGCACATTCAGATTTTTAAGATGGTCTCGAACCAGTTCCTCTCCTACAGTGGGCCCAAGGTCTTCATTCTCACAGTCCCTGCGTCTGCCTTCCAAGACTTGGGTGGTGTGGTCAGGGCCTTTGCCAGTGAAGACCGAGGCAAAGAAGTCATTGAGAACCTCAGCCTTCTCCAAATCCTGTGTAGCTAGTTCTCCTGAGAGCTTCCTGAGGGGGCCTACATTCTCCCTAGTCTGTTTTTTATTTGCTATGTACCTGTAGAATCTCTTCCTGTTATCCTTAATATCCCTAGCCAAGTTTAATTCTAACTGGGCGTTAGCTTTCCTAACCTGGTCCCTAACTTCCCAGACAACATCCCTGTACTCTTCCCAGGCTGCCTGTCCTTGCTTCCACTTTTTAGAAGCCTCTTTTTTCAATTGAATTTTCCTCAGCAGCTCCTTATCCATCCAAGGAGGTCTCCTGGCCCTCCTGCAGCACTTCCTTCTGGTTGGGATGCAACACTCCTGAGCTTGTAGCAGGTGATCCTTGAATATCAACCAACAGTCCTGGGCCCCCCTGCCCTCTGGGGCTATATCCCATGGAACCTTACTAAGCAGGTTCCTGAGTAGGCCGAAGTCTGCTCTTTTGAAGTCCAGGGCAGTGACCTTGCTGCACGCTAACCAAAGCTATGCAGAAATCAACTGGAGACTACCTCGTTAAATATCTGTAGAGGGGTTAATTTTAGAGTCCAACAGTAAATAGTATCAACTGAGGAAGATTTCTCCATTTTTTGAGTCTCCTCAGAGGTTATAAAGAGTTAAGAAAATCTTTAAAACAAAACATTTTAGCTGTAAAGCTGTTTTCTTTTTTGTTTTGCTAATTATGACTTAATCACTGATGACTTTCAGATTACTGCAAAGGAGCACTGAGATGGAAAAGAGAATGTGGAAAAACAGGGAACTTGAAAAAGTAATTGAGATATTTTAGCAATCTCAGACTAAGATGACTTAAGTTCTCGGTAATACAGTTCTTCCTTCATGCCTCTGGTAACTGCCACCTTTCTCCTTTCCTACAGCCTCAGTATGCCAGTTACAGACATATATTAATCACTGCATCTTGCTCTATGACACACATGACTAGTGCTAGCAGCGTATATGCATGGGATAACTCATTAGAACCTGCAAGTCAAACTGTAAAGAATGCTACTTACTTGATGCTCCAGCTGTTATCAGTTTTATTGGTATGACTGATTGTTTCATTTCCCCTCTTCCAGGACACTTGAAAACTTTTCAAATAAGAATACTCCTTGTCCAATATGCAAGTAAGTTCAACTTCAACTACCTTTTCCAAACTGATAGTTGTTTCCACAGAAGTACCAGAAGCACCTAAAAAGTTTAAAAACTGTATTTACAAAAAACATTTCTTCATTGTGGAGGAAGAACAGATTCAAATTTGTGTTTTACATATGCTGGATTACAAGTGGATATATTGTGCTGTTGTTATACTTTCCAGGCTAAAACTGCAAAAATCAGACAATGCCAGTAATTTTGTTAAGCCATAACCGAGTTATGATACGCATCTATTACAAAAATTACACTCATTCATTCTGTAGGTAAAATTCTTATGGAGTTCTAACATACAAACATAGATATTCATTTCACTGAAAGCAAGAGAAGACATTCTTCTACATAATTTAACCCAAACCGAAGTACACTAAGCACTTAGCTCTCGCCAGGGGCAACAATATCTGCTCCCAGTCTAAACTTCCTTTTGAAATTCACATGTGGTATTTAAAAAGCAGGATTTATTGGATTAAAAATAATAGTAAGCATAAGAAAAATATTAATAATCTCAAAATGTTTGACTTGTAAGTATATACAAGCACCCAAGTTTCAGCCAGTTGCATATTTTTATGATACTGTGAGACCACAGGTAATGTCCTGCTGCTAGTGAAGATGCTGACAAAAATCCACAGCCTTAACATTTTTGCATCTGGCTTTTCATTCTGCAGCTGCTGAATTTGAAAACAGATCATCTTCAAATTACGGCTGCCTTTGCAAGCCAGTACAGTATGAAAACATTCCAATACAGTAAAACTACCCGACATTTTTTATGCTTATGAAGCTTGTTAAAAGCAAAAGTGAGAGTATCCAAAAAGTAGACTGCAACAGCAGATACTGCAAGGGTGTTAAGGCACTGGAACAAGTTGTCCAGAGAAGCTGTGGCTGCCCTATCTGTGGGAGAGTTCAAGTCTAGGTTGGATGGTGCTTTGTGCAACCTGTCTAGTGGAAAATGTCCTGCTCGTGCCAGCGGAGGTTGGTACCAGATGATCTTTAAGGTCCCTTCCAACCTTAACCAGTCTATGATCATCTGATTATCTTGTATTTTCTCTGATCTACTCAGCCTTTTATAAATAACACACCCCCTTTTTACTGGTCAGCACTGATATTTTATTTCATAATTGGCATTTTCTTTCATACCTTTTAGATACAATTCTGGTTAGTCTATCCAAATACTCCACCAAAAATTATTCCAGGCCTCACCTCAACCCTACGCCTATCCTATAGTATTTGACGGTCAAGGGTACAGTTGTATTTCACAGCTCACTCAAATTCTTTGAGAAAAACCAAGTTTTAAGGTACAGCTCATTGCCCTAGTACTGCAAGTCATACCTAAGCAGCAGCAAAGGCTGGCTGAAGTAGAAGCCCCAGTTACTCCCATAAAATATTTAAACTTCACTGGGTCTGGTACACACATTTACAGCCTGCAGAACAGCACGCCCAAAAATCCAAATCCCAGCCAAAATACCACAGATCTGTTGAACGGGGTCAAAGTTACAGGTGCAACACCTTAAGCTTCCATAGCAGAGGAAAGTCAGTAACTGCACCTCATTTATTAGAGCTACTACACTTAATAAATGAGCCAAGCATAATTCACCTTGTTGTTTACGACAGAAGTTATTTTAAAATGGAATTGTTTTCAGAGTAGCTAAACATTTACAGTCAGATTAATTACACTGGCTAAAAGCAGAATCTGTACTTTGAGCTTATTTAAAAACTTCACACTTTAAATGAATGGAATGTGAAAACCCTATGCTGTTGAAGGCTAACCACTACCACAACCAATACCTGGAACATCTCTGTACCAAGAGTACATGTATCAGAACAAGAGATACTAACTTAAGCTTCCTCCTAGAAGAAATACAGTGTAAATGCTGTACAATAATGTCATTAAAATATCATACCATAATTTTGCAATGGAATTCTAAATTAGCTCCTCTCATTGAGAAATATTTCAGTTAGATTAATTTTTCCAGTTGTCCAAGAAATTAGTTATAAATTATTATTATGGGAGCTTCACATCACCTGTAGGAAGAGCTTTATCTTGCCTTTTCTCCATGCTTTAAATCCTGTAATGTTGCAAAGTTTACTAACACCTGCTGGTTAACAAGTACCCTAACTTATGTGGTCTTCAGAAGCGGTTTCACTAGTGCAAAGAAATTGTCACTTGGATTGATTTGGGGGAAACACATAGCTATGAGCTGGGTTTACTTGCTATTATTAAAAAGTAAGAATCTCATTCTCCACTAATAAAAATAATTATTAGAACGCAATATTCAATAATGCAACAAACATTAATATTTCCCTTTACTGGGCTCATCACATGCTTACTGTGAGCACTGTAACTTTATCAAGAAAGTGCCACCCTAGCTACTTCCGTGACTTATATAAAAGATTGTGCATAATCATAGGCATTCAATATAACATAACTGGAAGAGGAAAAATTACATACCAGGTAGGAGTAACTCATACTGCACAGAAGTAATACTCTGATTGCTTGTCTGCCTGGACTCTTTTGTGGCAAGATTTGGACCTAACAAGGTTGTAAAGGAAACAAAGCGATATGTTATGACCCCGTAAAGGTAAACATACTGCAGAACATCAATACAGTGCTGCAATTATTTTTTACAGTAATATGAGGGAAAGAAAAGGACCTTGCTAAATGCAGACTACTGTGGAGATCCTTTCACATACCTTGTGGGTTAGAAGTGAGAATCTGAAAACTGGAGTGTTGTGCGGCTGCTGCTATAGTAATTACGTCATTTTAGAAGACTGTTTCTAGCTTTAATATACTGTAACTATGAATGACAATACTCTGAAGAAGTTGTAACTATCCATTATAAAGCCTGATTCAAAGATTACAGGTGGGTCCTAAAACTGTATAGAACTACATCAATGTTTAAGTACAGCTTGGAAAAGTAATAAGCTTTTTTTTTTAAAAAAAGGCAAAAAAACAAAAACACCCACCCACAAAAAAAACAAACAAACAAACAAAAAAGAAAAACACCACCACAAACACACACACACACACACACACACAACATAACCCAGAAGGACAGAACACTGCCATTCCCAAAGCCACTACAATTTAACAATACAGCCAAAAAGACAGAGGTAACTATCTAATCTAGATGTAGCTCTAATAAATGACCATCATCTGCCTGACTAAAATATACTCATTTCCTTCTGCAAAGGAAAACTGTGTTTAGGAAGTTTAATACAGCCTGCAAAAAGTCTTTTCTGTCAGGCTATGGATAGCCTACTTTTCAGGGACTACCTTTGTAAAACTCAATACGGCTCTCAGGCAGGCAACTTTAAGCATGAACAGTCTGTTCCCACTACTCTAGTTGTTTTCATGCTCCATGCATTTCCAGGACAGAGCAAGAAAGCAAATTGATAAACTACAGCATTAACAGCAGATGTAGCCCCACTAAGGAAGCATCATCCTTCCACATCTACACACATAATTGTTTCCTTAATATTGTACTATCTGCATACAAATCCCTAGTAAACTGAAACACACTGTGGGAGAAGGCATTAGAAGTTATGCATAAAGGAAAGGTCAATTTAACACAGTTCTGGCAATTTTATTTTCAGTTACTTTCTGTACAGCTTGAACATCTTTATCAACCATTTCAGTAGAATGATGTGATTGCTTTTACCAGGTACAGACACTTCATGTCCAAGTGTCACAGGATCCGAAGGGCACCCCTGCGTTTGCCAACTGACAATTTGTGTAGTTGCCATGGGTTCTGAAAGGTGACAAAAAACAAACCTGTTACCAAAAAAAATATTTTTCTTTCAATTTAGCAAAGAAACAAAAGCAACAGAGATTCCTCCTGCCACACAGTACATAAAACACACTAAATGTTTTTAGTTTTACATGCTTGCAAAGCAATTTTATCATCAATTTTATAATGCATTTCAGAAATATATAAATAGTAACTATATATTGAATCTGATTATCATACAACATTATAGGGGAAAATTACACTAGTTTTTGTAGAAGAATAAGGGCTTCATTATGTCTCCTATTCATGGATTGAAAAGGTGCATATTCAGTCAGGAAAATGGAGAAAACTGGCCTACAGTTTGATTTCTTACTGACAGAAGCACTGGGTGGCACAGTTGATCACTGTGCAGTAAAAACAGTCTCTGAAAGCCTAGGTCTCCTCAGAATTACTCCTTCACTTTTCCTGCATAAAATACTGAAATTTGAGGCAACGTTCTAGAACATGCTTCTCTGGCTACAATTGGAGAGAATCTGGCTGTGCTGAAGGAGGGCCCTGCTAGTGATTTGAATCTGAAGGTCTCAGAGCAAGCATAAGCACAGTTACCACATGCCTTCCAAGTTGCAGGACCATTCGGTAAAGCAGTGTTTTATCTGCATGTCAGCTCACAACACTAAGAACACTATGCCACAGGCAATCAGCCTTTTGCCTGGCTTGTTCCATCTGCACTTTCATACCTTCCCTCCTGCTTCAACAAGTAACAATAAACCTGTATATAAAGGCGGATGACGTAGAAGAACAGCTACATTTGGTTGTTGTTAACAGTAGACTTGTCAATCTCAGGTGCTATTACAAAATGTTATTTTAAGAAAAAGAAAATTATAAAGCTGTCTCCCAGCACTAGACAGTAAGTCCTGGTTCTCTAGCTAACAGCACAAGCAAGCCTTGATCTCAACCTGACGGAGAAAAACTAGCCCAAGTGTTTACCCCTGAAATAAGACATGAAGGCTGAAAGAGTTCTGGAGAATCTTCCTTTGCTTATGTGTGAAAACACCCTGTTTTGTCATGGATCACTTGAGTTTATCTCAGTCTAGTACATGCATCACTTTATTTGTTACTGAAATCTCTCATGATGATACATTCAGATGGCAGCAGTGCCCAGCCATACAGTAATTGTTATCCATCCACAAAAAACAAAACCACCTTTAAAATGTCCTGCACACTAATAGGAGCATTATACTGACTTTGTTTCTCAGTTCATGTATAAATGAAATAATCAGGTTAGGTCACATTATATAAAATACTTGTGTATTTTAGTTCATGGAAGCTTTCAAAAACATATTTATAGTCCTTTCTAGATCACATCTTTCTATACAACCTCTAGTGGAAGGTGATCCTACCCATCGCAACAGGGTGGGAACTAGATGATCTCTAAGGTCCTTTCCAACCCAATCCATTCTGTGATTCTATGTGTATGTGTGCTTATGAATGGGAAGAGTTACTGAATACAATAAAACTGCAGGCAGAATAACTGGTCCAAACTTGCTTGAGTTCATGTATAAATATAACTTAGTCCACATTTGATAAGCACTAACCAACGTGAGCTTTGGTACACTGCTGAATTCCTGCTTCTCTGTGTTTATGAGAAAGGAGAGGTGGAATCAACAATCATCAGTTTCTTCTCCTGCCTGGAATTTATTCTCTGCTCCCTATTAAAACCACAGTTAAGGTCCAGAATATGATGAATAAAGTGCAGGACAACCAACGGTTTTGACACATCCATAATTAAAAAAAAAATAGAGGAAGATAGCAGCAAGGTGCCTGGCATTATTAACAGAATCATAGAATAGTTAGTGTGTGTATATATATATAGTTAGTTAGCTAATAATATATATAATTAATGTCCTGGCGCAAGGGCATTATTATACCTCTCACTAGCCCAAGAGGAAGATTCCTCACACAAAAAATTATCTGGGGCGAGTGCTAAAATAGAACCTCCAACAATGGTTCTAGGTTGGGAATTATCCCATCTCCAGAGTCATTGCCTTCTTTTATCACATATATGCATAAATGCAACAGATCACACAATTAGCAGTTAGACAGCTTTTCCCGGTCCTCAAGATGCTTACACCTTAGCTCTTGCAGTGGCTTTAAAAGACGTAGATTACATATTTACTTCTCTTCCCTCTGAAAAGTCACAATCTTATTTGAAAGACTTTAGTATAAAAATGTAAACTCTACACCATAACTTAGTATCACTAGGAGAATGTATTATAGCTTTAGGTGTACTGAAATAAAACGATTACCAGGAAATGACTCATTAAGTTCATTCTTCATATTAGTCAAAGAGTTTGCCTGAGACTGACTGCTTGCATCTTGTGTTGTCATAGCTGGATCTAAAGAAAGAAAAAAGGGTTTAAAGAAACTTTACTCTCCCTAAGTTGAACTAAGTCAGAACCATCTAGTTAATGAAAATAATTAAAACAGAATTTCGTCACCACAGCCTACTACCTACATTTTTTCCCAAAGTTCTGAACATATAAAGCCAAAGTGTGCAAGAACTACTTTTCGTTATTGCTTTAGCTTACTTTCGGCAAGAAAAGATTAAAGAACAGAGCAGTATTTGACCTCTAATTTCTGCAGACATATCTCTTCCTGTAGCTAGCCTATAGTCAGGCAAAACCATTCTTCAGGATAGTCCACCAGGTCAATAAACTTTACAAGCTGTACTCAAATTCTGTCTTGTTTATGGGTTTAGACTACCATGTTTTATGACACTAACACTAGTTGGTTATTTTTAAACAAAGATTAGCAGAATTCACTAATAGAATAAAGACCTCACTACAACCTTACACATCTAGCCTGTTTTGTGATGCAGTGAAAAACTCCCTTTCCTACTACTATTACCCTGGTGAGCAAAAGCAAAAGTATTTATCTTAAATATGGAGTTCAAGTAGTCATAATGACTATTTCCATTTATCACCACTGCAAACCTGATACTGTTCTTGTAATACAGCTTTTGCAAGAGCCAGGCAAGACTCTAGGGTTTTGCTTTATGGTCTTGACTGGAGAAAGGACAGGGGAAGAGGCACAAGACTTGCTTAGTTTAAGCATATTGCTGCATCGCCCTTCTATTAAGAATTCAAGGTCCCTAATTATTTTACAAAAATCAAGATATTTATCCCTTCCTTTCTGTTCCCACATTTGGGTGACAGAACTAGCTATTATAAAATAAATGCTACTACCTTCAGATGCTTATGTATTCCAGGACATATTCTACTGCCATAACAATAGGACACACTTGTTCTCAAACTCAGAGCAATCTAACATTAGTAGCTTAAGTGGTTTGGCTGGTACCCACGCAGAGAAAAAAGGACATGTGCTTTGCATTTGTAATTAAAGTCTGGCAGGGGTAATAATCTATGCTAGACATCCAAGACAGCAGCAAGTATAGATGGAAAGTCAAAAGCTGCATCATACTTTAAAGTGTGCCCAAGCTCGCCGAGAGCTGCCTGCCTTCAGCAGAAGGTAAAGTCAGCACCCCGCCAGTTCCTACAAGTGATCAACACTACTAACACTCCTGCCTCATTTCAGCACAATGGGCATAGACCACCTACAGACTCTTCCACTGGCACCTCCAGCATGCAGTTACTTGAGACATCAGTCATGACCAGCTTGCAGCATCCGCTTTCTCAATCTGCCTCAAAAGTAAAACAAGATAGTCAAATAATATTATTAAAAAATTAAGCATTAGCAGTTCTTAGTAACAGGCTCTTAATTCTTCATACTTCTCCACACCAATCCACTGGTCCTATAGCCAAGTGTTCCCTCACAGCGCTTCACCTATGCAAAAAACTTAATAAATCTGCTCTGACTATCTGCTCACTTATGACCCAGCCAGCAAGAAGACCAAGTCTTATTATCTTCTTAACAAAGCTGCTGAGAGAGCACGGAGAGCCATTATGCTTCCAATATTCATGGTAAGGTTGAAGAAAGGTCCATGAATTTTTGTATCTGTAGCATCTTGAGGCATTCTAAAGATGTCATGGATCACCTGACTGTCAGCTCAGTAGATGCATCACCTGCACAGTAATTAAAATCCCAAAAGATGATTAATTTAGGAGATGCTAGAGCCAAGCTATACAGCAGCTCTGTTATCGCTCTGCAAGGAATGCAGATAACCTGCAACGTGTTTTGCATACTAATATGGTTCTCATCTTGGCTGTCTTCCTTGATTCATGTACCAAGTGAACAGTTCAAGTAGCATTATTTCTAGTCCACATCTTAGCTCTTATCTGTCCACATGTCAAACTACATAACAGAGATAACATTGCACTGCTCTTGTCCTCTCATACACACCTGCTGAATAGCATCAGAAATCAAGACAACCCAGCATTGCATGCTTAGTGTCACCAAGTCAGGCAGTAATGTAAGCAAGTGAAATAGAGTAACTTCTCAAACTACTGAGTCATGGCTGCATACCTTCGCCTACAATTGATGTGCATTAGATTTAATCAATAGTGTGGTGGCTTGCTATTCTCTTGGTGCCCTGATCTTTATGCAGGAAGGAGCTGCGGAGAGTATGAGGTCATTAATTTGTTTGCTCTGCCTTACCTCTGCTCTATACTGCAGCCAGTACTTGAGGGATAGAGTGTAGATGTATCACCAGAGCAGTTATCAGCAGAGCAATTTCAGGCTTTAAAATCTATTCATTCTTTTTCAGCCAGAAAAGCAGCTTAATAGAAAAGCACTGAGATATAATTTGGTTTAATTTAACATCATCAATTTAATGTTTAATTTTATGCCAATTTATTTCATGCCAATTTCACAAGTCCATGCAAGCACACAGCTTTCACTATCCAAAACCACCCACCAGAACCTCTCAGTACTCCTAGGAAAGGTAAAAGCTGCATGCTGAGTGCTCCTGAAAGCAACAAAGGATTCACATAAATAAGACTTCCAAATGCCCTGAGATACAAGCTCTTCCCTCAGGACAAACCAGAAAAATCCAACCTGGAAGCCAAGTCTTTAAGAAATTAGGTGCATCCTCTACTCCTGTAACTCCTTAGTATCTTTACAGGCAGAAGCTGGGAGATGAGATGTGGCGGGTTTGCTTTTCCTCAAGGAATGCTGCAACTAAACTAGGCAACCACAAAGGCTGCCTAATGAAACAGCAAACTCTGAAGAAAAGTGTTGCAACACCACCCTCCCTTAGAAATTACTCTCAATTCAGTACAGATTAAGAGTGGTGGCTTTCTTTTTTTTCAAGCAACAGAAGAAGAACTCTTCTCAAGCTACTTATCAAAATAAAATCGAAGAGGCCTCCTGTGGTTTCTGCTTGACCAGCTGCAGAAGACTACGCAACCCAGCTTTCTGCAACTGGCCTTGTGCACTTACTACTCCCTCTGGTTGTTCCTACTGCAAGCACTCCTTTTGCCTGAAGAAGTCTGCTGAACCCCCACATCCCCTGAACGCATACTGTTTCTGGACTTCACAGGAAGGCAATTTTAGTTCTCCACCCTCCAAAAGAACATGATATTCCCCTTTACTGCACGTGTGCTGACAGCCCCTGCGCCTGACAAGCTTTTTGTACATTTGGTTAATAATCAATGAAAGCTTAAAACACTCTTCCTCACATTTAAACCACCATGGAAATCACCACGGTAGGAAGTATGAAGCCTTCCTACCTAGTTTATACAACTATAAAAGCATTTAATATAAATCTGAAAAACAACAGCCTCTATACAGATAAAGGGTACTAATGCAGGTGGCTTATTTCTGAAGTTTGCTCAAAGCCAGACATGATAATCCACCACTTCAGGAAGGTATGACTCTGGAAATTTTGGAAACACAAATACGATTTTGTTGGGTTGGGTTTTTTTGTGTGGCTTTTGGCCTTTTTAAAAAAAAATTATATATTTTGTTTGTTTTCGAGAAGATTATATTTCACTGATGTGTTTACATAAACTTAGAACTGCTTCAACTACCTTTAGGCAGTTTTCAGCAGTAGCAGTCACCAACATGTGGCTAACTTGCTATAATGTGACTCATGCTCCTACAATTATCAGGCCATTTACAGTCACAAAACATTTTGATTAATGAAATAAACTGAAAGGACTTAAAGCTTTGTATACATAAATATACTTGTACTTTACAGCTTAAGAACTACAGATTTTCCCCTGCTTGCATACATAAATATATGTATTTTAAACAAGCCTTAATAAGTGTAAAAGACATTTTGTGTCCTTATATATTCATAAAAATCATATTTATGTATTATATGAAACTACTGTAAATTCTACAGAAGTTATCATACACAGGGAGTAGTATTGCTTCTCTTAGTGTTAGAAAAACCAACAGAGGCACAAAAACTTGTGTTGGTATGTAATTGCTTATATATCACATGCTGAAAATGCAGCTAAACCACTGACAGTGAACTGAAATCTCAGCAATAATGTTCATATACATGCATTGGCAGAACTTCCTACCCTGACAAGACACACTCCAACAGTCACGTCTTGCACAGCAGACATTAGCAATCTGATATTTCCTTCCACTACCATTCTGTACTACTCTGCAATGCTCCAAAACCAGCAATTAACAGAAATACACTAGCTTTAGGGAAGGAGGGGAAAAAAAAACACAAGAAAAAAAAAACACAAAAAACCCACCAAACTCCTATTTCTGTTGAAAACTACTAAAGGAAGAACAGAGCCCAGACAGTCCCTCTTCCCTCTTGGATTTTAGATGCCCCATTTAAAAAAACAATCTAAAATCCTCCAAGGAACATTCCTCACAACCTGCCAGGCATACTTATAGTTTATGCAACTTACCAATTTGAGGGTTTTTTTCAGAACTTAAAACAATGGTTTACCCGATAACCATAAAGCAGCAATAAAACACTGTCCTGCACCTGTGAACTAGCACACTCTCCCGTCCGCGAGGGAGGGAGCCGGGATGTTGCCAGACCCCAGCCCCAGTGCGCCCTCTGCCCCTCAGCCAGCACTGCGCCGACCACCATGTTACCGCCAATTAGAGGGCGACAGGGAGGGGGTCCCTACTTCCAGCAGACCTATGAGAAACCCAAGCACGTTTTTGAAACTAAAGGCGAGAGCACGCAGAAGCAGAGGGAAGACGGCACCGAGGAGGTCCGACGCCGGGGGGGAGTCGGTGTCCCCGAGACGAAACGCCTCGATCGTTTGAACAAGCAAGGTCGAGGAACACCCGCCTCGCCGCGCCACCGCCTCCTTCCCAGGGGAGTCAGGGGGATGCTGCAGGGCAGGGAGAACCTTAGATCGGCCGCAGCTCCCAGGTCGTACCCGTGGCCCCCTTGCTCAATTCCACTCCGATTCTTAGGGCGGACAGGGTGGCTGCAGCATGGCAACCACCTAGCCCAGCCCAACCCGCGAAACGAGGGGGCATTTACCTGCTGAGCTCCCGCCCGAGAGACTGAGGTAGAGGCAAAGCAGCAGCAGCCCCCCCAGGCACTTCCCTGCGAAGGCGGCAAGCATAGCGCCACAGCCGCCAAGACCTGCCGCTCCCTTCGACGCACAGGCAGTTGGCTCGGTAGCGGTCACTGGGGAAGGAAGCCTCGAGCGGGCAGGGGCGGCTCTGAGGCACAGCCGGCTGCGGCACGGATCAGAACCAAAACAAAGCAGAACAGGGCAAGTGTCAGGCAACGACTGCGAGAAAAGCGCTGCGGAACCACCACAGGCACCACCGCTGCGCCTCACAGAGAGACCACGTCCCCGCCGTGCTTTCTGCAGCGGGCGGAAGGGCGGGTGTAAGCACCACTTGGTAATTGGTGGGTGCTCCGCAGCTGACCCAGCTCGAAGCCTCGCTGGGGCTGCTGGAGCTGACAAGAGCGCGGGTGGGGATGGGTCCAGTCTTGCCTGTGGCTGGAAGCAGGTGTTGCTGCGGGACCCACCTCGGGTCGAGCAGCCCTCCGGACGGCCGCTGGCTGTGGTAGGGTCTGTCTGGGGGAGTGTGCCTGGCGCAGCCGGCCTCCTGCTTTGGCAGGTGCTCTTACGGAGAGCCCAGTTTAGAAGTTTAGTTGCAGCAGGGTGGGTGGATTGTAGTGTGTGAGAGTTGTGGCTTTTCACAGGCCTTTCTCTGAATCGCCGGGTTTGGGCAGCAGTGCCCAGGGAGAACCGTTTCTAAAAAACGTGCCTCAGGATTTGGGCTATAAAATCAACTAGGTTGGAAAAGACCCTTAAGATCAAATCCAGAAGGCTTGGAGCCTTCAAAATAGTTTAATTGCTCAGACTGTTTGAATCTATATATAAGTGCATGTATAGTAAATCTTGTCGTACATATAAGTATGTATGCATTTGTTACTTGATAAATAACTGACTTTTGCAGCAGTCAGGGTGGCATTCTCTGAGGGAGAATCTCGATGATGAGATGTTTGCTGCCTATTCCTATTAAGATACGGTAGCTTTGGCTAATGCAGAAGTTGGAACTCTGTATGAGGTCTCTATCAATGATGCAAAAGGTCACTGCAACTAAACCAATACATCATCTTAGCTCTCCTGTGCTAACAGAGCTGTAGAAGTTTATGCAGATCAGAAATCAAATGCCCAGTGTGTTGATTTTCTAGCACTGCCCATGTTTGACGTGCTGCCATCCATGTACTCCAATACCAGTACAGTGTCCTTCAGATTAAAGTTTTCCATCATAAAATCTCCCCATAATTAAAATTAATGGCAAAAGACTGGGAACAGGATTGTTTTGTTAAACCCGTGCTGCATGTCACAGGAAGCCTCAGGTTTCCTGCTGGCTAGATGGGACCACGTATAGGTAGGAGTCTTTTCTGTTGTTAGAAGAATTAACGCCCTTCATATGTTTGTGGAGCCTTCTGTGCTCCAGCTCTAAGGCTGTTCAGCTCACGTACGAAGTGTAAGAGGTCATACATCTGAGTAGTCAATGGACATTGATGACTATACAGCTGCAAATCCACTGCTTTTGAAATATAGCTCCAACCTATAGTTCTGTGGTGTGATAGTGCCAGTGTGCTCTAGGGAGGGATTGAACCCCCAGTTTTGTTAATCTGCCAGCCTGCTACAACTGCACAGAGCAATGAAATTCGGAGAGAGAATCCAATTCAGATAAGGCTATTTAGGAATGGTGGAACATGTCAGCTTTTAACAGGAAAAAAGACGGAACTTGAAAGCTGTTTTATCTGAACCAGTTAGGCGTGAATAGCCTCATCTCCTCGGGGGAGAAAGGAGAGAAAAGGGTATGTTGACTTCCTTTAGATATGAAGGGGCTGGTTTGTAGTTAGCTCTCCCTGAACTGGGGGAAAAGAAAACCTTATGTTCACCTGACTGGTAAGGCAGATTTTATCCACCTGTGAACCATGTGGATGGGTTCACAGTGTTGGGTGAGTCTGTGTGGAAATCTGTGTGGCTAAACTCCACAAGCTGGCCAGGAGTGGAGCTGTGAGGACAGCATCATCTAGGGCCTAGCTGTAATTCGTCAGTCCTTGCTAAGTGAAAATTATAGAGGTTCTGATGGAGGTGATTCATTTTGAGTTACTTGACATTATGTCCTGTTTTATAGAACTGTCTTCTGTCTTTCCCACCAAGTCATCTTGGGCAGAGAGCATCAAAGCAGTCTGGAGTCATGATGACCTTTTCAGGATTCCTTCTCAACTTTTCTTCAGGGCTTGTCCTCTGCTGAAGGTACATCCAACACATACCTAATTCTGTGGAGGGAAGAAAACAACTGATTACTAAACTTTTTCTGAGAGTGCTGTATTTTCCTATAATCATTATATGAAATGCACAAACCACAAAGCAGTAGAAGGGAGAAAGGCAAAGAGGAAGCAGAATTTGGAGGAACCGATTGAGCAAAGAACTAAACAGTTATTTAAAGCTTTCAGTGCTCCAGAGTTTGCAGTACCATAATAATAAGCTAGTACATAATAATAAGCTAGTAATAGTTACTATTATTACATAATAATAATCCAGTGCTGCTGCTGGATTTGGTAGATCATTAAAAGTGTAGGAGTGAGAGATTTCAGAAATTATAAGGTTAGTATTAACAAACTATGAGAAAGTAAAATATTGGGGATCTTAAAGCAGCCATTTTATTTGTTTGCATTTGGAAACACTGGTGAGTAATGAGGAGTTTCAAGAAATGTATCTCTACTTAAATTTTATATACTAAGACTATCCTGCTCCATCTGTTAACGTACAGCATATTTTCCTAAGAGCTAATTCTTTTCTCTCACTTCCAGAGAGAGACTTTGACTTGTTCTCATATGGTAATTAATTGGGAAATGCGACAGTCATCTGGAAACAAGGATATTCAACATTCATTTGTTGAACCATACTCTGGTTTACAAGAAAACTTTTAAATGATACTCTGAAAATTGCTGTGACATGCTGATTATTGGCTGAAGAAAGATGTGGATAACAATTTGTACTTTCACAGCTACCAAGTCTATGTTCTCAAAGCCCAGTCTTTGGCATTCCTTTCTGTTAAAAACGAACCAAGTAAAATAACAAAAGGGCATACTTGATCCAGCAGTTTCCGTGGCTGGATGTTTGCTTTTTTATAAAATCCACTCAAACTGTGAAAAGGTAACTAACTCACATGTGAGAAGAACCTGGAAAAGGAAGAAACAGTCAAAAGGGACTGAAAACTTCTTGAAGTGGCAGTTCAGATATGCTTCAAGGATGGTGCTTAGCAGTTTTCAGTATTTGAAGCTGAGTCATCAAGACCATACTAGTCTCTAGATTTTTCTAACATTCCAACAGTAATGAGTAGGTGTTTGTTTATGGATGTGAATTTTTTTTATTGGAAAAATACAAAATAAACAGTGGGAAATAGGAGAACCAGTTTAGATTTATGTCAGAAATGAGCCATGTAAGCATGGCCAGGAGATAATTTTGCAAGGCTAGATAGGGACCAATCCGTATGGGCCACTATCAAAAAATATGTGCTGGAGTAGGTGCTATGGAACATCTCCACAAGTCCCCCATTCTATGGTAACAGTCAGGTTATAATCAAAAAAACAATGCATAATACATGTTTCTGAAGGCCAAAGCGATATACTGAGTGTTAGAACAAGACTAGAACCAAAATTGTATTGTCTTCCCCAAACACTTATCTTTTGCTTGCCCTCTTTGAAGGATTTTAAACTGACCTCTTATCTGGATTTAAAATTACTGGCCAGATTATGCAATCTGCATACTCTGCAATTGCCTGCTCTGCGATGTCTGCATTCTGCTGAGCAGCTGTAAATCCCAGTACCTCCTGTAACCTCCTCAAAGGCAATTTCAAAGATTAGGTATATAATCTCTATTGAGAATCCTGCCATTTATCAAATGCTTAGTGTCATGTTCTAAGATCGGAGCTGTAGGTGAAACAAAAGTTTGGGCTGTAGTGCTTTAGAAACATATTTCTTAAAAATCTTAGGTTGCTACCAGTACCAATTTTTGAGATTGGCAATACTGATCATACAAGATACAGTATCAGTTGTTATTGTGTAGGATTTGCTTTTGTGCAGGGTTGCAGATGATGCAATACTGTGGCTTTGCTCAGAAAAGGCTTTATTCACATGGCAAACCCACCATCATCAGGAACTGGCAACCAGAAAGTCAGCCAAGTAAGATTACTGGCAACCAGAAAATCAGCCAAGTAAGATTTCTGGCAAACAGTTCTTTTGTCTCTTCTGCTTGCACACACACAAGCACACACGCAAACACACACACATACATCCCAACCTGAAGCCTGAACAAAATTGACATTTTTAATGTAAATAATGGAAAAAAAAAAAGTGTTTAAAATGCAGTTGAAATCTTATATATAGATACCTACAAGATTTCCTACAATCTGTTATCTTAATGTAGAAACTACAACTATGTATGCCACCCTATTACAGGGTTTGTTTTGCAAGCTGTTGCTTCACAGTGTGCAGAAAACATTTTAAATATCTCAAGCAAGACCACACTTTTGGGGGGGTGGTATCTTTCATTACAGTAGTGTACCTGGAAAAAGTAAGACAGCTTCTGATCTGGACACAATTTAAGAGCAATTACTCTATAATTGTAATTATGCTGAGGGTACACAGTCTCAACTACTGCTTTAATATCAGAAAGAATATCCAACCTTTAAGATCTTTAAAATGGTTTCTCTTTTGTGGTAAAGATAAAAAATCGTAAGAGGCTTTTTATATAAGGCCTGAAGATAAGACACCATAAAAAAGTAACAAGGGAAGTGACCTAAGCCTTAGTGATAATATTCCAGGTGGAGGGAGGTCATTCACAATAAAGATCGCTCCATGCATTTATTAGTCAACCTCAGTAAACTTTAGAAACGTTAACATCATCCTTTCACTTTCAATGCAGTTTTCCCTTTAGTCTTCATGTATTATTTTAGAATGAGGAAAAAAAGTGGAGAAAAGTATGTAACTAAACCTGTTATTTTTGATATCAAAAGCCTGAGTTTTTAAAAGTTTTTATTAGATCTGCTTTTTAAATTTTTTGTCTCTTAAATGAAAGCTAAGGGTTTGTCTTGTTTGGTTTGTTTTTCTTCCTGAAATCACAGGACTCCACAAAAGGAGTAGAGAAAAAGAAGAAAAAGGATTGCAAAAGTTGTGATAAAAATGTTCAGCACTTTTACTGACTGCAGAGTCATAACCAAA